GTTCTTCTTCATTTCAACTCTTTCGACTTATGCTACTCTGAATGCCCCCATAGTACACAAAGTTCGTTCTGGTAAGCAGTAATCCGTTTAAATGCATTGCCCGCTAATTTGGGAACGTACGCTACTTCGTTTGCCGTACTGTTTGTAAGGTAGGTTCCGACTGTAAATATTTTTTCGAAAATTGTCTGGTGATGGTCCGAATACGAACGTCTTAGGTAGAAGTGCAGATCTTTCCTCTTCGGCATATTTGCATGGATCATTTTCGGAACTATTATGTAGATTTTCATGGGATATCAGGTTAACAAATTCACCGGACCAGATATTCATTCAGAAGACCTGCAGAACATGCTTCTGTGACAATTTTAATCGGCCCTCAGTTACCCGTTATTTGTTTTCTACTTATCCACAGGTACTTCGACAGAGATTACAAACTGATCTACGTCTCAAAATTATTTAATCGATTGTTTATAGTAAAATCATGTGGGCTTTGTGAGGCAGTAAGTGCTTAATCAGTCTTTCAGAATTTCACCAAAGTTAAGGGCGAGACTGTCGAAAATGAAGGCATGGGTTATAAGGGAACGTCTTCGGAAAATCGCAGACACAATTCGAACTAATAGACTTCTTCAATTTAATTTAATTCACTTCTAGTGATTACAAACTGTTATCGTCAACATGATTCTTCAGCCACTATATATATGTGCTGTCAACCCTCAGTGATAATATTACACAATCTTTCGATTGACAGAGTTCGGTGAAACTGTTGAAACGGATTAGTAAAACCCAGAGCCAGTAAGTCCCAGGACCTAACCGTAATAGTAACCTCGTTCATTTAACTAAGGCCGTTGAATGCCCTGGTATGGCTGAGAGTTGGGCTAATTCGTTCTTCCTTTTGAAATGCTCTCACGCAGACGATGCAAAGATCTGGAGGTCCATTAGAAGCGAAGAGGATTAGACTGAGCCTCAAAAGGACCTTACATCCATTGAGGAATGGGCAGTGAAAAACGGTTTAAAAGCAAATCATTCGAAATGTCACGTCATGTACATTCTGCCCCACATAACGCAAACGGTTTACACCCTCAACTGAAGTCCGCTCCCTAATGTCTCGTCGGAGCGCGATCTCGGTCTAATAGCCACTGAAAGCCTCCATATCAGTTCGAAGTATATAGAGGATTCAGCTAGGACAGATGCAACTCTTCACTTTATGCGAAGACGATTTGGTGTAATCCCCCCACAATTATTCTTAACGTTGTTTAAGACATCTGCGCGCCCACACCTTGAGGTTCACAACGTCATCGCACCCCGTCTACTTAAAAGAGACATAAATCTTTTGGATTGAGTGTAGAGACGAGCAACAAAATGTGTGATGCGGTTCAAGAATGTAAGTTACGAAGAAATATTCCAGCACTCGGGATTACTCCTCCTAAGTTACGGGAGAATCAGAGGTGATCTGATTATGGCGTACAACACATTAGGCATGCCAAACCATCCCAACGTGTCCACCTTACAGATGCATCACCACCACTCCCCTCGAGGTAATCCTCGAAAAATTGCTCATCAAAGAGCGAACACAGGTTCATGCACACTTCTTCCCACTAAGAGTCGTTGCAACCTGTATTGCTCTCCCAGCGGAGGTGACCACAGCCCCCTCAGTGGATAGCTTTACGAAGAGACTTGATAAACACGTACTCACATACGGATTATCATCTCCCTTGTGTACAAGATGTTCCTGATTCATGCCTTGAGACCTGCTGGTCGTTATTACTGCCGTCTCAGATCGCTTATTATCTCTGTTTCCTCTCGTTTGCTTACACTTCGGTCCTCTCGCACAATCTTCACTACCAATTCATAAACTAAATTATCCATTTATTTACTTGGTCCTGATATTTTATTATTATTAGCATTAAACCTTTCTCATTATTATTCTCCATATTGCAACTAACTGATCTCCGGTCTGGTACTGTGATAGCTGTTGGTATCCAGCATCCCTATCACGCTGAAACAAACGTTTTCATTCAAATCCCGAGACATACAAACTCACAACCAACTGACTAGAATTAGACAGTCGAGTGGCTAGACCTCCATCCATTGGACATCACCGAACACCTGGAACCGGACGGAAAGAACAAGAATCGAGCACAAAGAAATCAATTGGTTTACACTAGCTCGTGTAAAAGATGGTGAAAATGGCCATGTTTTAATAGTTTTCGTTAGGGAAATCCGAATCATTGCTTTAAGTGAAGGATAATCGAATATCCCGTGCCTAAATTGGGTTTGAAAGCATGAAAGATCCGTAAAGCTAGTTAGGTAACCCTGATTTCAAAACAGTCGTGCTCACGGTCTCCGTCATTCTGAGTGAACAAATGGCATATAAACCTACCGTTGGTCACTGGCTGCCATGGAACTGCATTTAATAACGTTCTCCCACTGTCTTATAGACTAAACATGTAGGTCCAATGCTCGTTAAGTGATCGCCTACGAAAACCACCTGTTTCGATTTGGGTACCCGGCACCTACACACGAATGAAATGATCCACGTGACACGTATTTCGGTGCTTCCTTGTACCAATATCTGTGTTTACATCATGTCTAAATACTTGAATATCGATATGTTTTATCTAATTTGTTGTTTCAGAAATCAAGTTGGTTATCTGTTCTTGATAGTTTCGGTATCGTAGAATATTCCTTACTCATACTGTATGGGTTGTAACCCAAAAGCTAAGACAATCTACAAGGAGATTCGTCCATCTACTAAACTTTAAATTACACTTCAGTCAGTCAGCTACAACGTAGAACTTCGTACGTACGTTCATCAGTTCAAGTTGCCATAGCACATTAGCACACAGATCGAATTGTCAATTCAAATCTCATAGTATATAGGTAGCAGAAGTATTGGTTGTGATTTAAAAAATTAGGGTTCGAAGAAATTATCCAAAAAGTATCATCCCGTGAAATAATTCAAGAAAGAGAAAAAGAGTTCCTGAGCTCATGAAGTCACACGACATGATGAAGAATGGATGCGCCTGCTCCAATGCAAACAATTTTGAGCCATATCACTCAAAGTCTCTAACCGTAGGTTACTCCCGACCGTAGTTGTGGTCGGGCTTGCCTATCGTGATGACCAAACCGAGCTATACTGGCTGGAACATACGTTCCTGAAGGTTCTACCATGCCAGGCAGGTCGATTGCAGAACGATGAGACTAAAAGCAGCTACTCAAGGTCTGAGGGCGAAGTCGTACTGCTGGCTGCAGAGGGGTGTGACAGGAGTAAGGTTTTTCCCTCGGACAACCAGCATCTGCAGCGATGCTGCCTTCTCACAAGGAAAGAAGGGTTCAGTCAGTCAGATGCAACGTAGAATTTCGTACGTAAGTATATCAGTTCATGTCGCCATACCACATCAGCACAGAGATGTAATTGTCAATTCAAATCCAATAGTAGTAGAGGTAGTAAGGGTATTAGAAGTAGTCGGAGAGGTTAGGATTAGAAGATATTATTCAAAAAGTATGATTCAGTGAGAAAAGTTTAGAAAGTCAAAAGTAGAGGGGTTGGAGAATCCAGAAGATTAGGATTTGAGAGAACACAAAGAGTAAATGCATCGGCGCCATCGACCTCATACAAACTCTCTACTTGAACACCACTGGTCGAGTGAGAGCTTATGGCGAACTGTCATTAGAATTCTTTACTTCAAGTGGTGTCCGTCAGTGTTGTCCACTCTCCACATTCATGTTCCATTTTGTCATAGGTACGCTCCCAGATATAACATTATCTTCGTCTGAATTTTCAGGAGTAGACCTTCTACCAGAAAACACGCTTGCCGACTTAGAATATGCCGATGACATAGACCTACTTGGTGAAGACGCTGACAAAATGCAGTCTTCTGACTACCCTAAGAAACAATGCAAGCATGTTCGGGATGCGGTTTTCCACCTCGAAATGCAAAATGTTGCTTCAGGGTTGGCTTGTATCGGCACCTGAACTAGTGATAGGGAGTGAAGAAGTCGAACGTGTTGACCGCTCCACTTATCTTGGAAGTCTCATCAGGGCTGATGTCCTGGTGACTGACGAAATCTCAGCACGAATACAAAAGGCTTGATTAGCTTTTGCCAACCTGCGTCACTTACGGCGTAGGCGAGATATCCTTTTGTTGACTGGAGGACGAGTGTACTGCGCAGCAGTTCGCTCCGTCTTACTTTATGGCTGTGAAATATGGCCAATGAGAGTAGAAGATATTCTCATAGGTTATTGGTTTTCGATCAAAGGTGTCTTCGAAGCATTGCTCGTATACCGTGGGACACCCGAGTGAGCAACGCTGTTATTAGGAATCGGATGGTAGGTAAGAATGGCAGATCAATAGACGCAGTATTGACACTTCAACAGTTGAGGTGTTTGGGACATGTTTTGCGTATGCCTAACCACCGACTGCCTCGAAGAGCTTTGTTTTGTAGTGTAGGAGTAGGCTGGAAGAAAGTTAGGGGCGGCCAAACCAAAACTTGGCACAAATCCATGAAGTCACTGACAAGTGGACTGAGTCATGTCGGTAGTTGTCGACTACCTGGTTGGGGTCCGCGAGATGATAATAATCGATGGTTAAAGATCTTGAATGACATGGCTCAAAATCGTTCGCAATGGCGCCGGTGCATTTACTCTTTGTGTTCTCTCAAATCCTAATCTTCTGGATTCTTCAACACCTCTAGTTTCGACTCTCTAAACTTTTCTCACTGAATCATACTTCTTGAATATTATCTTCTAATCCTAACCTCTCCGACTACTTCTAATACCTTTACTACCTCTACTACTATTGGATTTGAATTGACAATTACATCTCTGTGCTGATGTGGTACGGCAACGTGAACTGATGTACTTACGTACGAAATTCTACGTTGCATCTGACTGATTGTGAATGGATATTTGTCGGGCAGATTTCTTACTAATTCTTGTTCTCTGGTTTCCAAAGTTTATTTTACAAATAACCCTTTTTAGGTATACGGACATGTAATTAAACATGAGCCGGATAGGTGACACCTTGTCTTGTACCTCAAGGCGCTCTACTCGACCAATTAGGTCAACCTCTGAAGTTCAAATGGCTTCTAAAAATAAGAAAGTTAATTCAACTGAAAAACGACGTCAGTTGGCCACTCTTGAGCAAAGTGTTTGTAGTAATGAAGATAAACATCTATCCGCTCCCAATAACCATCCAAAAAGATGTAGTAAACGAATTAGTTCAAGAATAGCAGCAAAGAAGTCAAGTCTTGAAGGAACATTGCAGTTAAAGAAAGAAAGGGAAGTATTCGGAGACGTTAAAAACTTATTGACAGATGACCCCTTTCAAGATGAGAGTAATGACAGTGATTCAAGTGACTTTGTATCCCAGTGTTCAAGCGTCGAGAGACCTAAGTGCAATAAAAGAGGTAACCTGCGCTTGTTTTCAGAATTCAAACCTAAGATGACTAAAAAAATAAATAAATCATCAAAAAACGTCAATGTAGTTGAAAATTTCCAAGGTGTTATTGATAATGATTCTGACGACGAAACAGAATGGGTTGAAGTAAAGGACGAACTACCTAATGAGGTAGATTTTATGCATAACCTTTTGAATTCTAATGTAAATACTATACCTAGCAAAATTGAAGAAATAAAATCTGCAGCGCTAACTGTTGCTATTCCTCATAATGATCTCACTAAAAAGCATTCTAAACAAGATCCAAAACTTCTTCAGTTACTTGCATTAAGACGTAAATTAAAAGAACATTGCGCGTTGATGCACTCAGTGCATGTGTTATGTTTTCTTGCCCATAGTCGTGTAATAAATCAAACTTGTGATAGTGACTTATGCTGGGCGTTGGGCATTTCACTTTTGGCTAATACAAATGCAGTGTACAATCAAAAAACAAAACAATTTATTCAACCATCACAGTGGTCAGTTGAACATGTAGAAGCATGTCTTGTTTCGTTGTTGTCTTATCAACGAATGCAGTTGTGTACTGAAAATAATTTATGTGGTGATTATCAATATCAGCTTGTTCGTCGTCTATCAGAGTCTAAATCTACTGAAGGTGATTGTCTCATACTACTTGTTGCAGCTCTCCGGTCGCTTGGATTTGATGTACGGATAATCCTTGGTCTCAATCCAATACCTTTGCGACCTAGCAAAACGGTGACTAATAATTTTGCTATTACAACCAAAGAAAATAAAATTTCTGATAGAGGAAAACATAATCGAAAAATCATTTCTTCAGACGAAGAAAATATATTTGATGCGAATTTAGATCGCTATCATGATAGTAATACAAAATCCAGTATTACTCTATTTGCTGAAGTATTTCTACCGAAGGTGAATCGTTGGGTGTGTATTGATCCATCATCACCTACAGGCGTTGTGGATAAAGTGACTTTTAAGGATGGCTTTTTATATGTCGTCGGTGCTTGTTCTATACGGTCGGCGAGTCCTGAGCTAGTATCTTATGTTGGTAGAAATCCAGTTGATCTGTCTCCTCGTTATGTTCAAGATTGGTGCGTTTCTGCTCGTACTCACCGCGTTCCTGCTGAAAAGTGGGATAGTTTTCTTGAAACACAAAGCAAATTTTTTGATAAAGATGCTGTTGAATATAATACTTTAGTTTCTAAATTGGCTACTCTTCCAACTTTTCAACGAGATAGAAAAGATAAAGATTCTATTCAAGAAAAACTTTTATCGGAACCTCTACCTAAACGTATGCAAGACTTTAAAAACCATCCGTTGTACATTCTCAGACGCCATTTACTCAAATTCCAGGTTATTTATCCACCTGATTCAATCCCCTTGGGGTATTTTCGTAATGAACCAGTTTATTCTCGTGATTGTCTCCATCTCTGTCATACCAGAGAATCTTGGTTGAAAGAAGCAATGGTATGTTCACAATCTCACTGTTTTCTAAAAGAATTCATTCCTAAATGCATAGGAAAAATGTTTTTGCTCCACAAATTTATATTCTATGTATAATCTTTCTTACTACCACTAGGGCTGTTACTGTTTATACTACTTCTCTGTACTGACGTAGTGTGATGAATTGAATCGATGCATTTCTTCCACGTTTAACATTCTGCATAACTGTACAATAGAATACTGTGAGTTTTTGATATGTAGTAGAAAGTCGTTTCGTGCTAGATTGTTTTACTTTCATTTCATATGGTTAACTTGGAAATTCCGATTGATCAGGCCGAGCCTAGAAATAGTTTTTTTTACGGGTTAAGCTGAAATAAATCGGTCTGATTATGATTTTGAGACCTTGTGGTGCAAAGTTGCTTGGTTATACTAGAGCCATAATTTTACAAAGCTCACTCAAAAGCCAATGTTACCAACCTTGATATAATCTCAATATCACAAACCCATGATTGTAGTTATGTTTGTTTCGTTTATTAGTCATCAATATATATACTTATATCTACAAAAGTGTCTAATCCCCAGTAATATATGTATCAGATCGTCATCTATTTTGAAAAGTTACTCTAACTCAAGCAGAATTCAATTCTTTAAAACCTAAACGTAAGACGGTGATATTAGCAACAACCCAAGAATTATATTGACTTGCAACGGTTTTTAAATTATAACTATAATGAAAAACTGTTTCGATTAAAACTAATTGTCTTGAAGGCATGTAGCTCAGCGACTTTATCATACAATTGCCTAGCTACTGTTTTTTTATTTTACATTTAAGCTTGCGTCAATCATAAAAACCTGCTAATTAATATCTTAGCTATTGTAAGGTTTTTACAATCTTCTTAAGACACACTTCATTGTCAAATTGTTATATATGATGATTTCAAAAACTAATAAATATCGATTCACGGATGTTCAGTGCTGGATCTAATGACTTTATTTCTACATTTTTGAATTTCGATTATCAGACTGTTCGTCTTCATGAAAAACCGGCAAAAGTTGTTAAAGCTCGTTTATCAATGAAACGTAAATTATTACAAGGTTCCGATTCTACATCTCCAACTGTTGAAGTATTCGGTCCATGGCAAGTGGAACCGTATGTACCACCCAAAGCTGAAAATGGTATTGTTCCACGTAATGCGCATGGAAATGTTGATTTGTTTAAGCCATGTATGCTTCCCATCGGTTGTGCACACTTATGTCTTTCTGGTATGTTCAAAATGGCTTTCTTCATTTAATCATATCTTATTTCATTTTAGTTTGATTTTTAAATTGCCAAAATTAGTACAGAATAATTTTTTTAAAACGTGTTTGAGGTGCTTTATTTTGTGACTCGTTTTATTATAAGGGTTGATTTCTTTTGGTACACAAGTGTTTGTTACAGCAGAGAACTAAAAAAAATGTACCATGCACTACGAAATAACATTGTTTTGCAAAAAGAGGGAAAAAACAACATCAAAATACGAAGTTAAATACAGAGCACAACTTAGTTTGGTTGCAATGTACATATTACTATTTATAAGAAATCTAAAATAAAATTTTGTTCAATAACTGTTGAATGATTGAGTACGACGGTATACCAAAATGTGACACATTCAGTAGAATGACTGTTGTAATGTGTTTTCTCTGAACCTGATACCCCATTGATATAGTAACTTGAACTTATAACTATTAGAACCTGATGAGAAGTTATCAAAAAGAATGTTTTTCGTGCATATATATGGGTTTTGATTAGGCAACGGTCATCAAATGTGACATCCAGAAATATAACCAAGAGATTTAATTAGTTAAGAATATAATATGAAATTACTGTAAGATCGCCATTAGCTTCGCGTTCTGTTACTATCGCTACCACTATGTGATTTTAACTGATAGTCGCGTCTCTGTGCTAATGCGGTATGGCGACCTGAACTGATGTGCGTACGTACCAAGTTCTGTGTTGTATCTGTCTGTCTGTCTTTCTGCCATTAGCTTCCATTCTGAGTCATGCAAGATAACATCTTTAATACGTTTATGTACTGAGTGAAGTATTTACAACTCCAACTATACTATGGTGAACAAACTACCTTTGTTATCTTCTTGTTCTTCTCTACTTACTTACTTAAGTGAGAGGTACAAGCTTTTCTTGATAGAAATCTCACAGAAGGATGAAATGAAATGTAAATTTGTTCAGAAATAAACCTATTAATTAAATGATTATTCATTATCAGAATTTATCAAATTTAATGAAATTTATTTTGCACAAAATTACAGTGAATTCGTGAATACATTGAATATACCTCAAAATCGATCCACTAACTTTACAGGAAATATTTCATTACAATTAAAACACATTGAAAATCATTAAGCGAAAATTGCCTTAAATCTATATGCCAATTTTAAGATTGATTTTTTCTTACTTTGTGTTTGAGGATTTCATATCCCGCACAATCTCAAGTCATTGAGTCGTCTTGTCATTTAGAAGGAATAGTCCTGAAATACCAAGACATATTATTGTACATATTCATCTTTCGTTCCACATCATCGTCTCACAAAATGACCATCTCCAGTTTTTTTCACTCACCTCCATTGTTGGTAAGTAATATGGCGCATTGAAACTGTTGGAATAGTATTCTTAAGTCATTGAAGCTCGAATTTTTGATACTTATCATTAGCATTACTTACATTTTATTGCTACCAAGTAAAACTATTCGCATTTCCAGTTTAGAAGCTGAGTACTTCACACCAAGTAGTTATGCATCCAGTCTTTGACACTGTGACGTCTTAACAGTTACAAAGATAGTTCAATAATTTATTATTAGTTAAAATCTTATTTGTGTTTTCTACTAGGAGCTTTAGTTACAAGTTTCATGAAGTATACAGTTACTATGTAAACATCCTAATTAACGCACAATACTTGTCTAATATAATTCTATCTTCGATGATTGTTTGAATGTTGTCTATCATTTGTATATTTTAACATCAGGTATTCAATACATTGCTAGAAAACTTGGAATTGATTGTGCAGAAGCTGTTGTTGGCTGGACATTTCATGGTAGCGGTTGGGCTCATCCAAATATAAAAGGTTACGTTGTTTGTAAAGAGTCTGTGCCAGTACTTATCGATGCATGGCGTACAGAACAAATGAATGTAGCAAAGTTAGAACATGAAGAACGGGTAGAACGTGCGCTGAAAAACTGGAAACGACTAGTTCGTGGACTTTTTATATGGCATCGAGTTAAAGCGCAATTTGCTTTAGCTCCATTACATAATAAACAAACTACTGTTGCAAAATATAACAAAACCGAAAAGGTAAAACACAAAGAAATGACTTATAAAAAGGTTATTCCATCGTATATTAAGGAAAAAGAGGAAGTTCTTGAATCTCCAATCTCTCTAGATATCCCAGTCAAAAATGCTGAAACTGAAAAAGGATGGATACGTTTAGGTACAACTGATAAGGCGCAGTTATTACCTAAAATATATTCAATAATAAATTCATGCACTCCTAAACGTTTTAACCCACCTAGAAGAAAACGTAAAGCGATTAAGTATGAAGAATCTTCAAGTGAAGTTTCCGATACTGAAATACCAAGCTCCAAGGATGATTCAGCAGATGAATTTGTCGAAAAATTTGATTCTAAAAGATAGGTATGTCCCAGACTACTTTTTTGATTTTAAATTTATCCTTAGTTATCAGGTTTGCTCATTTAAAAATCTAATAATCCGGCCTCCATCACTCACTAATGCAATTTAAAACCATATACTACTGTCGAATATAACTCACCAAGTCAGTTGTATAACAGTACTAGAGGTTGAAATTTTAATGATTTGAAAAAATTTCTGATTATTAAAGTAACACATTTCCCAATCACCTTAGGTATAGTGGGTATTCGTAGAGCTATGTTGTCTGGTGTAGGTAAAGGCTGGAAGAAAGCTATGCCAATCCAAAATATGGCACCAATCCATGAATTCACTGAGAGTTTGACTGAGCCACGTTAGTAGGTACAAACTATTTGGCTAGATTCCGCATGATAACCGTTACCGGTGGTTAGAGACTTTAAGTGACATGGCTCAAAATCGTTTGCATTGGCGCAGGTGCATCCACTTTATGTCCTCTCTCAAATACTAATCTTTTCTATTCCTTATGACGTTTTCTCCCTTTTTAAATTCGTTTGACTGGTTTGCACTTCTCGAATCATTTCTTTTATTTCTAAGCTTGTTCATTACCACTAATATTGCTGCAACCTCTACTACTACGGTATTTGAACTGACAGTTGTTTCTTTGTGTTAATATTGAAATGGCAACCTGAACTGATGTACGTACGTACGTACCAAGTTCTACGTTACAGTTGATTGACTGATTGATTATTAAAATTAGAGAGAAGAATTCAAATTATTAATAACTTAAGCAGTTATAATTTGATCATATCATCCAAATTGAAATTAACCGCGTATTTCTTGGTTGTCTAAAGTCACATTTATGCGTTGTAATTTGATTGTTCATATATTTCAAACCAACTCATTATATGAAATAGATGGGTTATAAGCTAGTAGTGAAATCCAAGATACACACTTCATTCTATTTGGAACTTGTAATGGGTCTGAATACCATTTTGAACATCAACACTGGGCTTGTAGGTACATTTAGATGATAAGTCACAGATAGAACAGGATATGTTTTCTTTTTTTTTCACTGTTAGTCGTGATCAATTTATTTTATAATAACCCATCATAGAATGGTTTTATTGAAGCAATCCACACAGGACGATACTCATTCGCCAATAAAAATTGACCAAAATTTAGTCAAAAATATTCACAATAGCTTAATACAAACCTTTTTTAGTAGTAATTTAAATTATTAGAACAACACATATAATTTTCACAATAGGAATCTTTAAAATTTAAATTATTGTTTGAATTATACCTTTGTAGAAAATTTTTCATCCTTTCAGGTTTCATAGGGAGAGATGAGTCAGTATAGTCATAGTTGAGTAGTTATGAGTAGCAGTTCACTATTCGGTTTTTTAGGAAATGTCGATTTGCTTTGTAAGTTTATCAGAATACTCAGTGAAACGTGTCAAGTTCTCTCTTCTTGAGAAATTAACTTTTGTGTTGGACAGACAAGATAAAGTTCTTCTTATGTTGTATGGACGATATGTTCATTCCCAAATATAACTTGTAAAAAAGGAAATCGTTATTGATTGAAGATGGAATGTAAGGTCAACTTTTAACACATTTTCATTACGTTGTTTTATGGTCTTTCAAGGTATTTTCACTTTGATTTGTATTCAGTTCATAAATTTTGATTAGTTTAATCCATATATGGCCTATTAACTTCGTTGTATTTTTAATCCCACGGTGATTATCATTAACTTAGCTATCATTACGAAACTGAACTTTTTGCTCTGGTTAGCAAAGCAAGGAAGAAGATATTACCTTGGCGAAAGAACAGATCATTTTTTTCTTTCAAATTCACAATTTATTTAAATGAATACAACATCGTCACTACTGTAATCATCTGTAGATTATAGAGGTTAATTGTTTGAGAGGAGTCGTTAGTGTTATATTTCGTCAACTAATAAGTTTTTCTGTACACTAAGACGTCAACTCCTTTGTTATAGTACTTCTAACAATCCTCATTCAACATCATCAACAGCAACGTAGAACTTTGCATACAATTGTCAATTCAAATCACATAGTATTAAAGGTAGTGGTCAACATGCTCAACTACTTCACTCCCTATCACTAGTTCAGGTGCCGATGAAACCCAATCTTGAAGCAACATTTTGCATTTCGAGGTGGAAAACCGCATCCCGAACATGCTTGCATTGTTTCTTAGGGTAGTCAGAAGACTGCATTTTGTCAGCGTCTTCACCAAGTAGGACTATGTCATCGGCATATTCTAAGTTGGCAAGCGTGTTTTCTGGTAGAAGGTCTACTCCTGAAAATTCAGACGAAGATAATGTTATATCTGGGAGCATGTCTATGACAAAATCGAACAAGAATAGAGAGAGTGGACAACACTGACGGACACCACTTGAAGTAAAGAATTCCAATGACAGTTCGCCATAAGCTCTCACTCGACCAGTGGTGTTCAAGTAGAGAGTTTGTATAAGGTAATTTACTTCCTTGGTACACCTTTCAATGACAGACACTGCCACAGAACCTCACGATCTACAGAGTCAAATGCTGTTTTTAGGTCAAGGAAGAACTATTGTAGAACGCCTAAATGTGTGTCTATGTTCCAGGACCTGTCGTAGCGTGAAGATTTTGTCTATACAACCACGTCCAGGTCGAAAACCAGACTGGTTTACTGTAGTCTACTCTTCACGAGCTTTCGTTAAGCGTCGAAGTATTATTGAGACCAATATTTTAGATACTATGTTAGTTAGACTGATTCCCCTGTGATTGTCACAAGAAGACTTTTGTCCTTTCTTATAGGTTGGGACAATCAAGGATTGAGACCAGTCGGATGGGATCAGGTCCAGTTCCCAGATTCTACCTAATATCTCAGTCAACCTAGCTGCTGAAACTTGACCACCATCCTTAAATATCTCAGGGGTCAGTCTATCAGGATCTGCTGCTCGCTTCAGATTTCCTAGCGCTTTCCGCGACCAATGCTGCTTCCTTCACGTGGTTGTCAGGCTTGCCTATCGTGATGATCCAACCCAACTATATTGACTGGAACTTATGTTCCTGAAGGTTCTACCATGCCAGGCAGGTCGATTGCAGAACAATGAGACTAAAAGCAGCTACTCAAGGTCTGAGGGCGAAGTCGTACTGCTGGCTGCAGAGGGGTGTGACAGGAGTAAGGTGTTTCCCTCGGACAACCAGCATCTGCAGTGATGCTGACTTCTCACAAGGAAGGAAGGGTTAGAAAAGATCGACCCAAAAAATGTCACACCTCACCTTACCTCATGGATTTCCGTCTCCTTGGGTAAGGGTGCCCACTAAGGGCCTTCAAGCGCGGATCTAATACTCAAAAATCCTTTCATAAAAAGGCCGTGCGTGACCGGCCTCAAGCGATTGTCCCTTGAACTCGGCGGTCACGTTCCCAGGTCAGTAAGACCAACACTAATCTATCTTCGTTTTCAGGTCCCTCAAGAAACACGCTTCCACAGTGTGGGCAGACGGGAAGTGACGACCGCCCTCATACCCATGAAAGCACACGAGACCAAGTTGGTCAAAATCAAATCCTTCCTACACCCACACACACCTCTCTTCTCTCCACAACCAACTCTATTCACAGTCCCTTTTCTCACTGCACCGCTAATGCAGACAAAGCGAATTCACGAAACGTCATTCCTGGTCTCTTGAAACCCCGTTCTAAACTACATGTTGGAGCATTTAATGTACGGACATTGTGTCAAATAGGGCAACAGGCATCATTAGCTAGGACTTTAGAATCTCGCTCAATCGATGTATGCTGCGTCTCCCGAACGCGTATATAGGATCCGAATAGCATCATTTACTTGACCTCACCATGTCAAGCCACTCAATTTACCCTTCGTGTATCCGGTAGCCCTGATACTGCTTCCAGGGGTCTTGCTGGTGTAGGTATAGTATTGAGTCGTAGGGCAGAACAATCTCTCCTTGACTGGATCCCAGTAGATAGTCGCTTGTGCGCCATCCGACTAAACGGGACAGTAAGGATTCGAAAGGATAGGGACACTCGCCGTTGCCTCTTCGTCATATCAGCATACGCCCCCACTGACTGCAGTTCAGACGAGGTTAAAGATGAGTTTTACAGAAGGCTTTCGGACCTCCTCCAAAAGGCTAGGCGCTCTGATATAGTTATAATGGCTGGTGACTTTAATGCTCAAGTAGGTGGACTAAGTGAAAATGAAAGACACCTTGGTGGATGTTATGGTGTCGCTGCTCAGAGAACAGACAATGGCGACCGTCTGTTGCAAGTATACTCTGATAACCACCTATTCCTAGCAAACACTAACTTTAGACATAAGGAAAAGCATCTCTTGACATGGCGACCCCCAAAGTCGTCACAACGCTGGACCCACCTAGATCACATCGCTATAATCCACTGGTGGAGAGGCTCTGTTGAAGACTGCCGCTCATTCTGGCGCACTCGTTTAGATTCAGATCATGCCTTAGTGCGAGCGCGCATCTGTTTGAGGCTTACTGGACGTAGGAAAGACAGCGGGCTGGTTTTCGACCTGGACGCGGCTGTATAGACCACATTTTCACACTACGACAGGTCCTGGAACACACACACATTTAGGCGTCCTACAATATTTGTCTTCCTGGACCTTAAGGTGGCATTTGACTTAGTGGATCGTGAGGTTCTGTGACAGTGTCTGTCATTGAAAGGTTTACTGAAGCAGTACATTAACCTTATACAAGCTCTCTACTCGAACATCACTGGTTGAGTGAGAGCTTATGGCGAACTGTCATCGGAACTCTTTACTTCAAGTGGTGTCCGTCAGGGATGTCCACTTTCTCCATTCTTGTTTAATTTTGTCATAGACATGCTCCTAGATATAACATTATCTTCGTCTGAATTTTCAGGAGTAGATCTTCTACCAGGTGGCTCGCTTATTGACTTAGAATATTCTGATGACATAGTCCTACTTGATGAAGACGCTGACAAAGTGCAGTCTTCTAACCACCCTAAGCAACAATGCAAGCAT